ATCTCCTACCGGCCCCTCTACTGCCTCTTCGCCGAGTGCTGCGGGCCGCGCCCGGGCCGGCACTTCGGGCCAGGTGAGAGGCCCTGCCCTGTGAAGGGAGAGGGCTGCCCTGTGACGGGGTGGGGGCTGGCCTGAGGTGGGAAGGCGTCCTGTTCTGGGGGGGCTGCCCCGTGAGAGGGGTTGGGGCGCCCCTGAGGGGAGCTGGGGCCTGCATTAGGGGGGGCGGTCGCTTCTCTTCCAGCCCAGCCCAGCCCTCACCTCGAAGGGGCGAAGCGGGTGTCCTCTCTCGCTTCCCAAGTTCTGACTTTAAACCTGCCGTCTCCCTTTTGTGCGTGCCGGGGCTGGCGTGTTCGCCGCAGCCCTGCAGCAGGATTTGGAGAAGAGGCTGTTCGGCCAGCACCTCGCGCAGAAGGTGATTGTCAAAGCCGTGACCGGCTTCCTGAGCAATGCGAACCCCAAAAAGCCTCTCACCCTCTCGTTGCATGGCTGGACGGGCACAGGCAAGAACTACGCCAGTAAAATCATTGTCGAGAACATTTACAAGTCGGGCTTGAACAGCAAATACGTCCATCAGTTTGTGTCCACTTTGCATTTTCCACACGCAAGTCTCATCAGGCAATATACGGTAAGGGCACGTTGTGGAGCTGGTCACGCTTGAGGGTCGATTGTGAGGGACAGCCCTTTTGTCGCTTTCAGAAGGGTGTCGAACCAACGATTCCCAATCCGTGGTACATGTATCACCGGTGGTACACGTACCACCTGTCAGTGGTACGTGCTAACAGCTTTATTATAATTACTTTATATGACAACAATTTGCTGGTGGTACTTAAGGTTGTATTGTTTTAAACTGGTGGTGTGCAATCTCTCAGAGTTTGGGAACCGCCGGTGTAGAAGACGGTGTTTATGCACCTTTTTACATCCCTCTTGAGGGGGAGAGTATGAGACCTTTCATTTTCCCTGTTGTATATTTTGGTCCAACGGTCTGGTTGACTTGATGATAACAGGGATTCTGGATACAATTGGGTATAACACTTGGATATAATGCTGATGGGTGCTATAGAAAACCTTAAGATAGATTGAAACAGCTATGGTGACCAAAGCTGGGAAGTTAGGAGACGGGTTTAATTCCCAACTGTAAAGTAGCGGTAGTACCTCACAAGGAGTGTTGAGGCCCAGTTATACAAAGATCATGAAGTGCTCAGATGAACTAGTAATGGGGTCATAAAACTACCTGAGACGGAGACTGTGCACAAGAAATGGCATTTCTCCGAGTTCTTGTTCTGACTTTGCCACTGACTGTTTTGGACAATTCACCCTCCTTTCTTCCTGTGAATTGAGGTTGATGCTTTTCCACCTGTTCAGTAGTTGGCAAATATTTATATTATGTCCTGAACACGCAGACATGGGGTGGGCAAAATATGGCCTGTGAGCCAAAATATGGATCTGAGCCAGATTTGGCCCATCAGCTGTTTGGATCCGGCTCAGAGGTGGGCCCCTACCAATTGACTGTATACGGCCTGTGGCTGTCTCTGCATTGCTCTGCTTGGGATCTGAGTCCTGCCTGCACCTGCTGATAGTCCCAGCCCTGTCCAGCATGCGCAGCTTCCTGGAGGGACTGCTGCTGCTGCAGCTGCCTGGGTACTGCTCAGCACGTCCTCCTCCTCCTTCCCTGGCTGTGCCACACCCGGCAGCAGGTAGTGCAGGGCAGTGATGGCAGCTGTGAGGATGTGAGCCTGGCACCATGTGCCCAGCCAAGCAGGGAGTTGGTGGGGGAAGCTGCAGCCAGGTGGCTCTGCCCTAGTGCTTGGGGCTCCAGCTTCCAGCTGCCTTTCATGTGCTCCGCCCACCTGGTGCAATGAGCAGCCACCTGCGGGTGTTTGACTGGGTGGAAGGTGGTGGGACAACATAAGTGTTCTTATATGATGTAAGAAAACACTTGAGTAAGGTTATCCACTTTTCTGAACAAAATCACACATTTTCAAATGTTTTCAATTCCCTCCAATTAGATTATGTGCTAGTGGTTAAAGGATAAAACCAGACATCATGAATTCTAGATTTTGTTCCCATCTAAGGCTGTACAGTCAGTCACTGGCACAGCTAGGAACAGAGCTTCTTGTTGACTGCATTTGAGCTAGTAAGTGGATGTATGGTACTTTGAGGTCAAAGGATGAAGTGTGCTATGTAAATGCAAAGCGTCATCCAAAGGAAGTAGCATGCCATATACGGCATCACTTGGTCTTAGATCTCTGTTTCTTATTCATTGTCATTGTTTTGGCTAAAGTACAGTTCTGTCCTCTTTGCTGATGCTTGCACAAAGTCTTTTCCTAATAGCAGATTATTTCTGGCATCTCATTTTTTGAGTTCTTAAGGTTATTTGAAGAACCCTTAGGTAAATCTCTTGCGGTATTATTTCATCATTATTTATTGCTCTGATGCAGATTTCAGTGAAGAAGACCAAGCTATGTTGGATGACAATTTTATGTTAGATCTTTTATACAAAAGACGGGGATCTAAAGTCATCGCATGCTCTGTGTGTTCAGTATGATCTTGTGCACATGGAGCTTACATCCTTGTATCTTTGTGTACCGTAGGATGACCTGCAGTCCTGGATTCGGGGAAACGTGAGTGACTGCGCCAGGTCAATTTTTATATTTGATGAAATGGATAAAATGCATGCAGGACTCATAGACTCCATTAAACCATTCTTAGATTATTACGAGCAACTTGATGGGGTGTCTTATCGGCAAGCCATCTTCATCTTTCTCAGGTAAGGAATGGCCTTGAATTGGTTACAGTGCTAAGCCTGAGGGCCCTGTGAAGCAGCATCCAGCTCATGACCTTTTTCTCTTTTACACAGCAATGCAGGGGCAGAAAAGATAACAGAAGTGGCACTGGATTACTGGAGAAATGGAAAGAAAAGGGAAGACATAAGCCTCAAAGAACTGAATGATGTGGTCTCTCTGTCTGTTTTCAATAATAAGAATAGTGAGTAATATTGTTAACTATGGGTTTGTAAATCCTTGTGTTTGGATTGGTGGTTCTGCATCCCTGTCTAGTATCACACTGATTTTCTGTGTTTCCTCTCTGGAATATACTTAAGAATCAAATGCTTCTGTTGGAGTGGTCTCCAGTGGGATTTATAGGATTCCCATGAAACTTCACTGTTTCACGTACTTGAATCCTTTTAGCAGAAAGCTTTCCAATGCTCGTGCTGCCCATAGCGCTGAGCTGCTGTCTTTGAGAGAGGTTGCTGTGCGCCTTCACAACATGATGAGCAGCTCTATTTAGTGAAATGTCATGCCCCAGCCTGCCTCCTCTTTACAAATGAGTTGGATGCCTCAGCAACTTAAGCTAATGCTTTTTATAAGTCACTGCCTAAAAAAATACCCTTCTTTCTTCTATTTTCTTTGCAGGTGGCTTTTGGCACAGCAGCCTGATAGACAGAAATCTCATTGACTTCTTCGTCCCCTTCCTACCTCTGGAGTATAAACATGTGAAAATGTGTGTCAGGGTGGAACTTGAATCACGTGGCTACGTTGTGGATGAAAACATTGTAAGCGAAGTAGCTGATGAAATGACCTACTTCCCCAAGGAGGAAAAAATTTATTGTCACAAAGGATGCAAAACTGTATACACAAAGTTGGATTATTATTATGATTTGTAGTGTTTTATGATGCTGCAATCTGCAAAGGAACAAATGAACTTGATCAGAAGCTGTAGAAAAACCAAAACATTTTATTATTTTTTTCAAGCCTTTTTTTTTTTTTTTTTTAAAGGGTACGTTACCCTTTTTTAATTGTCTGTCTGAGGTACATAAGTGGCAATGGACTTGCATTTTTATTCTGGGGGAAGCTTTCAGTAGCCACAGCTCCAAAAGACTTCAGGCCTGTGCTGGTCAGTTCAGAAAGAACTGTCTATGGAGAGGTTGCCCGTCCCTTATGGATCATTGTTTAAAAATGCTTATGATTTTTCTCAAATCAGGTATTGAGTGTTAGTTGTGCAGTAGAACACTGACACATGCACCAGGCCTATTTTCACCAAGTTACAATTCGATGTGGAAATGATCTCGAGATTGTACAGCAATTTTTAAACAGAGCTCTCATGTCTTCCTCGGAGGACCCTTCCTCAGAGTTCTGGTTGGACATGTTCCCAGACCTGCTTTGAAAGGTGGGTATGTAGTTATTTGTCCTTAATCAAAAACACCTTTGGTGCATTCAGCTCTGTTAGAACCAGTAGGTGACAGAACCTTTTATAAGATGTCCTTATACTTTGATTTTATGCGGTGCCATTATGAACATCTCCTTTGGTGCCAAACAGCGTTAGCAGTGTGGGAAGTCCAACCTGGTAGGGGAATATTTTTAAACACCGCTGAGTTAAAAAACAAAACTAAAGCAAAATCCATGACAATGTCTCTGTAATGGAGGTAATGTCTATTTTTAGCTGTTTTGACGTGTAAATTTGGGTACTCAATTTGCTCTCATGCTGGTGCTTTTTCATTTTTCTTGGAACAATGTTAAAGGGTTGTTGGCTAAAATCTAATGAAGCTTCTTGTTTGGATTGTTGGTTTCATAGTCACAACCACTAGAAATGGAAATCAAACCTGCTTCGTATGTTTCTGCTCTTTCCTTGCTTTTCCCCCAAACATAATAAGGCACTACTATTAAGGAACACATGAAGGCAGCTTCAGAACCTCCTGGGAACATGTTTCATTACTATAAGGATTCAAATAAAGGCCCTATAAAACATCTGCCAGCCCTATTTATAAACATCAGTACTGCTGACCTTTTTCACTCTGATTTTTAAATAAGACTTGTAATTGGTCAATAAAACTTCTCTCACCAGAAAATGCTTATTGGCTACTCTTCCAGTATGGGTATATATGTGTAATGGACTAATTTAATCCTTAACTCTGGGCAAATTTCTTGCCTAATAAGGAAAGCTTACAATTGCTGCTTTCTGCTTGACATGTAGTTGTGCTTGGATCCAAATATCTGTTTTTTTGGATACTTAGGGGGTTGGTGCTGGAGACAGACTATGCTTTTTCTCATTACTGAAAGTGACTTTTGGAAGCCTAAAACTGCAAGGTTTTTAAAACTGGAACAAACTTAGTTTTGCAGAATTGTCTCTCTGTATTTTGGGGGAAGAAAAACCAAGCAGCGAGACTTGTGCCTTTCCTGTTTGTTCCTATTAAAGTTGAATAACTCGCTAACTTCAACCTGTTAGTTCATTCTCAGATCATTTTCCTCTTACCCTGGCATATTTTGTATAATGCAGAATTTCTGAAATGCTAGCTCAGCCTGGCTAGAATGAACTATAGGAACTGTCCAGAACACAACTTCTCTGTGGCTGTAACAAACTATAGTGAATCATCTTTGCACCCTGCATTTGTTTGCTTGGACTGATGGGGAGGACCATCTAAACTAGCAGACTAATTTCTGATGTGCTCCCTTGAGATGACCTTGATTGGCTCCTGCCTGGCTTCCTATACAGGGTTTGTGTGTGTGAAAGCACTCCAATTGAATTTAGGATATATTTGAAGGAGCAGTGCTTTTCATATACAGAGACACTTATATTGTAAAGTGCTCAATCTATAGCAGCCTGTAGCTATATTTGCAGTAGTGTGGATAAGTCCCATTGTGGACATGAGATGCCGTTTTAAACACTAGGTCTTGGCTGTGTCCAAATGCATGTGTGCAGAGGGCTACAGCTTGGAGGTCTACCCTCACTGCCATTGCTTAATTTTTTGTGGTGTTAAGTGAGGCTGTAACACAAAGGCCTGTTACTTTGCCTTCCCTTCCCTTCAACAATGTCAGGAAGAAGTAGTAGGACAAAGGGGGAGGCAGCATGAACAGGCTTATGATGCTCATGCCAGCTGTTAGGAGACACTCCATTCCCCCCCCCCAACCTTTTCAGTATAGAGGCAGTTAACTATGTCCTGTTTATGGACAAACTGCAAATCGCTGCTGGTGCATCACAGACTGGTGCTGCTGTTCTGGAAGTCCTTCAGTCTGTTCTCACTTCTTCACATGTAACCATCCACCCCACCAAAGCAATATGTGACTGCTCCATATGCATGGAGGAGGGCAACACCTTGTACTGCTGCATAGAAACTGTTGTGCATTTAACTTGGCAAAGCCCAACATGGCAACAGTTCTTCAGCATAATCAATGGAGCCATCTTGGATATCTGTCATCAAACCTGGTGAAAGAGGTTATGTCAGGATTTTCTCTCTCTGTGCTAGGGACTTCTCAGGAGGCAGCATGGGAAGAAACACAATCAGTGTCACAGGTGTTTGTTCCTACAACTTGTTCTATCTGAGAACACATTCACTGAAGTGCTGTTTGAAAATCTGCCCCTCTTGGACACATTATATCAAGAATGAGCAGCTTCATCATACTTTCTAATAAAAATGGCAGTTCAGCAGAACAAGGAGACAGAACAGAAGATATACTTAAGTATAAGTGGCTGTAAAATAACTTCCAGTTGCTTGGAAGTACCATTTAAAAAATCAATGCCAACTAAAGAGGGATACAAGATTTATTGCATCTATGATGTTCTGATGACACTGGCATTTGTAGACTTGCGCAAGTACTTTTACATTCAAAGACATCTGCAGGAGCTGCTTCATCTGGAACATTATTCAGGAACAGCCAAATAACGAACAGTTACTGCTGCAGGCAAAACATTACACATCAAAAACAACAGTCCAATGTCCCAAGGTTAATAGCTACGGTTTGTTTTAGCTGGTTGCATCAGAATAAACAGTGTCCTATCATAACAAATGGCATAAAGCGTAATTCAGTGTCAAGAGGTTAACCTGGACATTTAAGCTCTTTGGCTGGTTATTTTGCATCAAAGGCAGCCAGTACTGAGACATTAAGATATTGTACATGCTTGTTCTTAAAAGTGTAGATCCAGTATATGAGGAGGAAGTTAATTCAGCAGCTATATAATAATCCACTCCCTCACATAAGTCTCCATTGTATTGTAGCCAAGCTACCCATCTCAAAGAGTTCTCCCAATGGCAAGTATGTCCTGTCCATTGACACAGAGGTACTTCCATCTTGCCTCACAGCACTGGTCTGTGTGTGTGGTGGGGGAGAAGAAAGAAGTTTACTATCACATCTAACTTAACAAGGACTTAAATGCCACCCTTACCAGTAGCTGAAAGGTAATCTTCCAGCTTCTTACCTTCAGCTTTCCATTTCACCTTGCCTCTGCAGACAAGACGTTTCGAGCTGATCACAGCATACAGCCTCTTGCTTTGAAAATTAATGGTAACGTAAAAAAATCTACTTAAAAAAAAATACAACACCGTGTGGGAAGATTGCTCTTTGACCATATGTCCCATCCTCTCTTCCCCCATGATTCTATAGAAATAAACTTTATTACTGAAGTGTAAGCACTAGAAGTACAAAGTACAAAACAGTATAAAAATACGCTCTTAAAAATAATTTCTACTACGAAGTAACCTTCAAGCAGGGGGGAAGAGGGGTTGTCTTCCCATAGCTGCATCATGTGGGTTTAATTCAGACAATGGCTATGGCTTTGTGGTTTACATGAACAGAATCTGACCTGACAGGTTGTAACAGTCAAGTGTTTATGAGTTTTCCTACCAAAAAAGAGTTACTGGCCTGAAATGCTGTAACAGTCAAATCCTTTGAAACAGTTCCCCCTATTGAAAAACTCAATCCCCCGTTGGCCACCAAGGAAAAATTCTCCTAGGTTTCTTTACATTCAGACTAAATATGAAGGGAATTTTTTTGGATAGAGTCAGACAAGTGACTCATTTCTTCCCTTTTCCACCACCCAGTAACAGATCTCCCTGAGCTCACCGGGACTCCAACGTTGCCATACCAAGAGACAACAGTTGAGTCAGAAATTCTGGAGAGCAAATGACCTCCCTCTCCATGCAGTACAAAATGACCAGCCCCTTGCATAGTGCAAGGAGTCCTCCTAGCAGAGCAGCCTTTGGACTAGGAAAGTATCAAGGAATTTACC